TAATTTGCATTTATGAATCTTGTTTTTGCTTTGAACAACATTCCCACCATAAAAAAAAAAAAAAAATACAAAAAAAAAAAATGGAAGTAATTAAAAAAATAAAGTAAAAAGTAAGAAAACAGCATTTTTGCATTATTACGAATGTTTTATTTATGGATTGCTATTTTTTTTTAAATTTGCATTTATGAATCTTGTTTTTGCTTTGAACAACATTCCCACCATAAAAAAAAACAACAAAAATACACAATAAAACAAACCCAATGCAGTTTAGATTCTGATTTTTAACGGTTGTTATTTTGTCCTCAACTGGACTGAAACCCAGTTTAAAAACAGCCAAAGCTAACATAAAAATAAAGTCCCTAAAAGATCTTCAGCAACCTGAAAATCTGCTAATCCTGGAAAGTCTGATGCCAGGAAGGAGAACCTGGATGAGGATTATCAGTCTGTGTTGAACCGATGTGGGCGGTCTGGGGTCTCTGCGGTGTGTTTAAGTGCAGTTGTTTCCTCAGGCTCTGCCGACGTCAGGCTTCACAGCAGATGTTGGGTTGGTGTTTTTATTCCTCATAAATCCAGCAGTCAGTTTACCTGAGCGTAGACCTCGGCGGGTCAAACTGCAGCAGCCTTTCAGGGTCTAACGGGTCTCCTTTTGTTTCCAGCGGCACTTTAATGCTTCAGTTGGATGCTGTTCCTACTGGAGAAGGTGTTCAGGTAAAAGCCCCTTGCTACCTCATCAGACAGGAAGCTGTCAGCATCACACAGGAAGTTCTAATCTGACTGATGTGTTTCCAGGCTGATCGAACGGCTGACAGACTGACTGGATCCATGATGGAATTACAGACGTTACAGGAGGCCCTGAAGGTGGAGATCCAGATCCATCAGGTGGGTTTCCATGTCGCTTTATCACAATCTCTGTGGGATCAATGTGAACATTTTCACAGAGGAAGCTTTGATCCGTCTGCTGACCCTGAAATGTTCTCTTAAAGCCGGCGGTCCATAAAAAGCAGCGATGACATAAAAAAGCAGCTTTTCACACCTTCTGAAGCTGCTGGATCAATGAAACTATGAATGTTTGACTTTAGTTAGAAGCTCCATTTTAAACCTGAGTGCTGATGATGAGAGAACGGCGCCATCCGTCCTTTAAACAAACCGCAATCAAAATAAAGCTGGTGGACCAATACTCGTTCTTCATTACAACCATTATATATAATCTGTCACATCCTAACAGCCACAGTTGATTAAAAGTGAAATTTAAACAGCTAGATTAGATTAGGACTGGGCAATTCATCGCAATTGAACAAAATGCTATTTTCAAATCGCAGAGCCTCTAAATTTGTCTCTCCTGCCCTTTAGGGGGCAGTAAAACCCTTTAAGTGGGTAGAGAGTTAAGCCTGATGAACCAGACTAAATGTGAGATTAAATGTGTAATTTAGTCTGGCCCAGATGAATGAGACGTCAGAAGATTGTTGATGAGACCAACCAAGTGTTTTTCAAACCATGTCTGTGCCTATTGGCCAACGCTCTGACCAATGAGCGCAACTGACTGTGACGTAGTAAGCGCGACAGGAAGCTGGTGGGGGAGTGTAAACAAACAGCCTGTCTGTAAAACGGCGAATACGTCCTAATTAAAAATCAATGAGAGTAGAGCCTCTTCCTGCTCACGTTTCAACCAAAACCCCAAGTCTAATCCTTCCAAAACTGATTCCAAAGCTGAGTCAAACGAGAAATGTTCAATAGTTGTTGCCATCTTGCTTGTTGTTCTTTCTCCAGCGTCGTGCAGCTTTGTTGTCACGCCCTCAAAACCCCGCCCGCTTTGCATCCAGAAATTCAAAACAGCCCGCCAGTTCTAGGGCCTGGGGCATTGATCGAGGCTAGACCACTCGCAGGCTAAAATGATCTTGGCCTCTGGCAGGTGGGGCTAGTTTACTAGGTTATAGAGAGCTGCAAATAGCCGCAGATATTTAAATAGTTGCAATTTTTATTTTTTTACTAAATGGTTCAGCCTTAGATTAGATGCATGTATTGCAACCATGTCTCATTTTACCCGTTAGTTTCAGACCTCTGCAGGATTAATGCATAGATTCATATAACTGAGGCTACAAAATTATCTGTTTATTTATTATCAAAGAATTCCCTTTCTCAGCATTTTTTTTGTTCGACTGAAAGAGAGCTTCTTCTCCCACTTGTAGTTCCTACCTGCTACCAACAGGTGTCACTGTGGCTTTTGCTAACTTTGACCCTTCTTTTCCTCTTCTTCTGCAGAAACTGGTGGCTCAGATGAAGCAGGACCCGCAGGTAAGCCCAGCAGATCTCTGCCGAACATGGATCCCGGACCCGGTCCGGTTCTGCTCAGACTGACGGCTCGTTTTTGTTCCAGAACGCAGATCTGAAAAAGCAGCTCCATGAACTCCAAGCAAAGATCACAGCGCTCAGCGAGAAGCAGGTGGGTCCCTGTGCGCTCCTGGTTCTCTGAGGCATTTTATTATTTATTTACTGGAAATCTGATTGGTTTGTTTGCTTATGGAAGATTTTTCCTTTTTTTCCAGCTTTCATTGATCCATTAGTTTAACCTTTTGAAATCTGAAAGCACTTAAACACCAAAGGGATTTCTGTTTCTAGTTTCCACCATTATTTGGTCTTTTATTGTTTCCCACTTAGTAAAAATGTGTTGTTACTTGTTGTTATATTTATTCTAGAAATACGAGGGATTGTTAAAAGAAGCGTGTTTTTGCAGATGTTTAAAAAATAAGATATGATTTGAGAACTGGTACCAAATACGGTTTTTATTAGAAATATTATTGAAAACAATATTGATACATCTTTGTCAGGGTTTAAGAGCATCGTTTGTGACAAACGATCTCAGATTGAACAGTTTCTTTTATAGAATTAATGAAATACATTTTACATCAAGGGAGAAAAGTTTTTGATTATTGAATTAATCTAAAGTTGATTTTATCGAGCGGCTAATTAAATGATAAGCAGCCATTTAGCTTAAAATTGAAATCTTTCCATAACATGAATCACTACATATTTCTTACTTACTTAAAAAAAGATGAATAAATTATGTGAAACTTCTGCTTTCCAGTGAACGGAGATCTAGATCTATCATTGTTAGACAGTGTATGTTAGATAATCACTACTTTACACTCCGAGGTGGTCACAGGACTCCGGCTCCTTACACGGTGCTTTTTCATTACCTCATAAAGCTTCTCCAGGTACCATGCTAACAGCTAGCATGTCTTCTTCTATCCTGTTTCAACAGTTGAGCGTAGTGTCGTCCACTGCTCTATCATCTTCTCCTTTTGATCCGAGCAGAGAAGTTCTGCTGCTCCGCTTTGCAGCGCCGCTAAATGGACCCATTTAGGAGAACTGAATGAGTTTATCCAGAGTTTAGATTCACTAACAGAACCACAGCAAATTCTGGATCCCTGGATCGATTAAACAGTGGAAATAATCCGGACAGGACTCTGGATCCATTCATGGTTCTGTTCTAGCATGGCTCAACTCTGATATTACTTCTATTGTGAACAACAGTGAGGCTCTGCTCCCTCTAGTGGACAAATGTAACATTACAATACTGAGCAGATGTTTTAATCTAATTAAATTAATTTAACATTTTAACATTAATTAACTATCAATCAATAATTAATTGTAAGTAAGGGTTAACTCCCTAATTATATTATTCATAATCCCTGTGATACCCAAGCAAACCTCCTAGATTTTAACATCAGTGCAAAACCAGTTATGTTAACAGAAAAGTCAGGAATGACCTAGAAATGACATCAGGCTTCTGGTGCGTCACATATCATCCTGATGGGCCGTTAAGGTCAATGACGTGAATAATATGTGACCAAAAGTCACACGGCATCATTATGGAGGCATTTGGGTTGCCAGGCAACCATGACTGAAACATTTAGCCAAACAGAGCGTAGGGCTGATGACTCACATGTCCTAATTGGCTCCATTAGTGACCCTAACGGCCCTTTAGGTTTGATGATCTGAATCTTATAAAGTCTGATCCTCAAATCCATCATCATCTGCTTTACATCTCTTATAAAAGCAGTTTTTAACTTCTGTCCACGGGCTGATTGTTCAGGAGCTTTTGAAGCTTTGAAAGGACAGTCTTTAAATAAACAAAACAAACACATTTAATTTTATTTCCAAATTTCAGTGGGAAAAACCTTGAATGATCATTTCTTTTTTATGTTTATTTTGTAAAAACAATAAAAATTAGAAAGACTTTTTTAATTTTCTGGCTACTAATGCCACTACGATGAGGCCCCTCCTTCCAGCATACAGGTCACCATCCTGTGAGACTGTCTTCTTATAAAACATTACTGGACAAACATCCATGCTGCTCTATGAGGTGGAGTAAGGGTAAAATCTGTAAACTTTGGACATTTACCGCAGTAGTTTGACGACAACTGTGAGCAAGAAGAGCCTGACATAGGCTGCGTCCACACAGCAGCCTGAAGGTACCCAAATCCTGTTTCTGACTGTTTCATGCCAGTCTGAACAACACAGATCGTCTACGTGTGTCACAGTGAATGCAAATGTGCACCCGCCCCCTTCTGCAGCACTCTGCTGCATCTCCCCAAAATTCGTAGTTGACCGCAGACAGGAGGCCTCTGATTGGTCAAATCTACATCCGCTCTACACTATCCGTATTTCCTGTTTGGTTCCTTACCAGCTTGTTTTGTTTGTATGACCGCCATTGTGGAAAACTACTTATGAAGATGGACCAGCTAGAAGAGCGAGGTGTGTGAGAACGCTGGGAGCCTGTTCCACCTGGATTCCCGCTCTTTTTCGCCCTCATGTCCCTACTATGTCGCACAAACTTGCCCCCACTTCCTCACCACCTCGGCCGTATCTAGACCCACAGCTAGTTCCTGATTGCCCCTCTTCCATTGTGGCGTGTAATACCATAGCACAGACCACGCTTCAAATTTGGGCATAAATCAAACATATTTGCTCTCTGTGACACACTGCAGCGGGAGAATAAGCGGCCATTTAGAGGTTGAAAACATGTAGTTTAACACCTACCATTGACAGTCTGTGAATGACTAGTCACTCTCATCTCCTCTTCATCCTCATTGACTCCATCTTCCCCCCGATTTTTCCTCCAATCAGGCGTCAGTCTAAAACATGGAGCAGCAGCTGTAGAACATATTCACCGTCTGGATTCTGTTCATTATTCATTGAAAAACGCTCATTTGACCCAGAATTTACACCCATTTTCTACCACTATCCGTTTCATTTCTGGGTTTGGTATC